ACCAGGTTGTTCAGTTAACTGAAGGAGACTCCAACACACATGGGCGCCCACTGCGCTCACATCCACACACACACACACACACACACACACACACACACACACACACACACACACACACTCACTCACTCACTCACTCACTCACTCTATCAAACTTTAAAACTCATTCACAGGACCATTGAGCTCTTGTGATGAGAGCAGCCACAGTAGTAATTTGACAAAAGCTGTCATTCTTCATGACAAGACTGTGACCTCTCCGAGTGTTCAGGGTGTGAAGGTCAATATCATCCCACTGCCACACACACACACACACACACACACACACACACACACACACACACACACACACACACACACACACACACACACACACACACACTGTACACCCCGCTCTCAGGCCCCCTTCCTCTGGGTGAGATTGAAGAGGGGTCCCATGTCGAGAGGCTCCGTGTCACTGAGCCAGTTACCGCAGCAACTGATCATTCTCGGAGCCAGCCATTCGGATAAAGGGTCAGCCTCGATTTCAGTCTTCATCTCCCCCTCTTAACCCGAACCCTCTTTCTCCTGCACACGTCTCACGTGTGCATCCAATCTTTCTGGCTTTGATACTTTCTATCCCTCTTTCGAACGTCTTATGGTTTGACCCCCTTCTCCTTTTCTTCCTGTTTGAAAATGTCCTTAACAGTATTATTCCAATTATTTTCCCCCTGAGCTTGTTAAAGGGCCACACACAGCAGGGAATAGTGTCACACCTCATGTATTTCAATTTCCTCCACCAGAAGGTCAATGTTGCTTTTCTTTCCTCCTTACATTCTGTCTCCCTTGGTCGCTTTTTCCACAGTTCACATTCCGAAAACCGAACTAAATTTGTCCTGTCCTGTAGGTGCTCTCAAAATATGTTACGCCTACGAAAAGTCAGACTCGCAGTTCTTTCTTACTCTTTTTTATTGAAAAACAAAAAGCTGCATCAAGCAGATTTCTACAGGCCCATCTTACCTCCCTTCTGTCTGAGGTGCTGTTAACTTTTTTTCAGCAGGTTCTGTGCTCCACACTGCAATTTGTGTTTCATTATCACGGCTGAAAGATATGTTCCTATCATCCTCAAACATCTCTGCGCCTCATGAATGCATGGGGATTTTAACCAGATAAAACAGACACTTTGTTTGAATAGCTTTTTCCAGGAATACATATTTGAAATTCTAAAGCTGAAAAAAGGACCCTCACTGAAGCCTTTTCAAATGTCAATGGAAGTGAACCTGGCTACCTGTCATTTGTCAACCTCAGTTGTTTAATGATAGGTCTCTGCTCTGCTAAGTTGCATACAGTACATGGATTGTAAAAGCTGAGTAATAGCCCAGAGCACAGATTTATTTGTAATTGCCGCGTAGAATCACACTGGGTCTAGTTGCATCAACAACAAATAATGCTATGTAAGCAGCAGTAAGGCTAGTAGAACTTGGGGATTGGAGTGACTAGAGAGCAGATACTGGGTGTGAGCTAAGTGTCAGATCAGAAAAGTAATTGCATCAGTTTTTGCATTGACTTGCGTCACATCGTTCACACCACCAGTGAATTGAAACATGATGCATAAACTGTTATTTTGGTATATCCATGTCCCTTTTTCCAGTTCCTTTTTTCCACCCACTCAGTTAATCGTACCCCTGCAGCATGTACTTTACATGTCTGATTGATGTATTAGCAATGACTGCCTTAATAGTAAGCCTTCTCCGTGACTGTTTACAAGCCTCGCTGCTATTTGGGGATTCCTTGATCCTTCCCTGCAGATGGGATATCAAAACATGGCGGCCCCACAATTAGAAGTAGATAAGAAGCTCAGTGTAAAGGCTGGGGGTCAAGCTCAAGTGGCACGATCCAAGGTCAGACAATGAAAGAGATAAGAGCTTATACTGGAGGTCTTTTCTGTGGCCCCTTCACAAAGGACTAATGTTGTTGTCGTCGTAGTGTTAGTAGAAGCAGGGCAGAGATTACTGCTCGTGGCCTCAGATCAGACAGATTGAGCAGGGGCTGGGGGGTTTCACGGTCACTTAAGAGCACGACACACTTGGACAAGCTCCCTTTACTGGGCATTAAACACAATTAAGCGAAAGCACTCTATAACTCCCTACCTGGACTCTTCAACCTCCTTGTGTTCCCCTCGCGAGCATTAAGTCCTACTCTATCTGGCCTCTTAAACTATTGCCATAGTTCTATTCCTCCCCTGCTTCCTCGGAACCATTCCTCACGCTTTACATAATCTGGCCTTCTGTATATTAGCTGCACTATAGGGACATGACCTTTACCAGCTTTTTCAATTGACATATTCATTCTCCTTTTTTTAATTAGGGTTGCACAAAAGAGCCATCGAGTGCTTCCCAGCTAATACAGTCGCCTCTGAATTATTTAAACTATAGAGGATTGAATGTCGTACAACACTACTGCTCCTCTCTTTCTCTCCCTCTCTCACGAGTGGTCAGACCACTCTTACGTTCTGGGTGAGGAATCCAATGCGACTTTACTGTCATATATATGTGACTAAACGAGTGTCCTTCTCTCAGATTCTGCAGGGCGGGCTTATTTGCTGCACCCCTTGCCTTCGACCTTGACAGCAGCACTCAGACTTTGTTTGTTAGAGCGCCTACTTCAATCTTTCACAAGATCACACCCGCAGCACAGTCTATCAGTGCTAGAGTTTGAGCACCCTCAAATGGGGCTTTTATCTACCCTGAGTCATCTATGCACATGCAGCCTTGATTATTTTTCTCTCCGTATCCTCACTGTTAATTGCATCTCATCATCTCAGTGTATTCATTACATTTTTTGTGAAATGTAATATTAGACACACATAAATGTTCTAGGGTGGTATTCTTTAAAAATATAAGTATAACTATAGACATATGTACATGTTGTGCTTTGAGTGGATGCACTTCACAAAGTGTGCAGGGATGCAAAACTCAGCAGCAAAACAGTTACCTACTTTGTTAGTCTCACAATTCAAACTAAATGGTAGCAGAAAATGTCAATCTAAATTGAAAAGAAAAACACATTTCATGAATTCGGTTTCTTTATTAAATGAAAGTGTTAAATATCACTTCAATGAAACTGTTCTCAGCAAGCAAATCACAGACAATGAACTTGGCATTTCAAATTCCCTGCAGCTACAGTAGAGGGAAGTTAAATGCAAAGTCAAAGTTTATATTATGTTCATTCTAAAGTTGATTAACATAAATGCATTTTTTGCCTTAATAAATATGAATACCAATAATAAACACTAATGCGGTGAAGTTGGCTACCTTCAGGTTACTGCATATTGTGTCCTTGTGCGTTGCTTGAAATATAACTAATATGTTTTGACTGTAGCTAAAGTTATACTACAAACAGTAAAAAACAGTACTTTTTTAAAGATTCCTGGGAAAGTGTCAGAACATTTGTTATTTTCAGGGAAAGCATAATCCCTGAGGTACACCTACTGAAACAATGTCCCTCATGGAGGTCAGCTGCACAAAGGTCACGGGTTATTTAGAAAGTCACTGCACTCCTTTGACACTGGAGATGGGGTTGCTCTTAACTCAGTTTATGTACCTACAGATCCTATAGGACTCATTAAACCTGATGCATCCCCCACCACCTCGTCAGGCTTGCATTTAAAACCCCAATGTTTCCCTTACACATCATCCCCAGACATCTCTGAGAGCCACTTTTGAGTTTGGTGGACTTGTAATGTGCCATTTAGTCATTTAGTTTGCCTGCAATGTGACACAGCTGATCAGCAGAATTGTGCTATCAGTCACTTTGTTTGTTGTGAAAGTGCTGCAGCACATCTCAATGTTTGTTGTGCTATTCATCAGTTACATGTTGTCCGATTTTGATTATGAGCGCTGTGTGTGGTCGATTCATTAATTTGTTGTGAAAGAACAAAAGGAAGCAGGGATTTATTCATAACTCCCACCTGCTGATGACTGTATGTGCACACGTTAGCTAAGTGTGTGCTTTGGTGTGTGTTTATTTGCATGCACGGCAGGTTTTGCACATATTGCTGACAGGCGAGTGTTCTGTGGTGCGAAGATGAGAAAGACAAGGGGAGTAGTGGGAATAGAAAGGTAGAAAGGGTGACGCTGCGATGATTTACCATGGTGCCGTGCCATATTTGACCTCATTTCAGATTTCTTTGGGTATTTAATTCTGTTAGGTCCCGGCAAAAATGTAATTTGTAAGAAATAGTAAATCTGTTTACAGTTCTGTTTCAAATGGGTGTTGAGAGATGGATCCATAGATCTCTTCATTTTGCTCTCAAAGTGCACCAGATTGATGCTTTTAACTTCAATATTTAAAAAACAAATCTTCCATTTTTTTGACCACACAGACTTATGGAGCATTGTTTTATTATCACTGTTCTAGCAAAGTGATTTTTTTTAAAGGAATGCTCATGTTCATATTGATGTATTTTAACAAATGTTAACTTGGCCCATTACGTGACTATTTGTGTTGGGGGGGGGCCCCGACTTTTTTTTTTTCCAAAGGGGGGGCCTGACAGAAAAAGTTTGAGAACCCCTGCTCTAGATACACCTCAAATCTACTGCAGGTCGTTTTGGGAACGTTTTTAAATGTTTGAAGGTGGCAGTAATTACATCTATGTTTGTTCTGGGTTCAGCGTTATCAGCTCCCACATGCAGAATAAGCACGGCCCGAATCCAATTTTTGCTAATCTCCTGCAGGGCTGTTATTTGCTTATCATAATCTTAATTGGTGTAAACCTTTTTGATTTTCGTGTTTTGTGTGACTGTGTGGGCAATAGCGCCTGTTGCACTGGGCTTTTTGAGCTCAAGTTAGTTTTTATTAAGAGCTAACCTACCCTAACCTACTGTAATTTTTCTAAAAGGTCTGTCATTATAAGCAAATCTTGCAGGGGCGATCTTTAAATATAACTTGTTCGTAATAATCACTCCTGAAGCTAACCCTGAAAATCTGCTGTTGGTGTCCTAACTCTCTTATCTCTTGCCTTTCAGTTATGTGGCTGCGGGCTGCTGGGCGTGGGCATCTGGCTCTCTGTGTCGCAGGGCAGCTTCGCCACCTTCTCGCCCTCATTCCCCTCACTGTCCGCTGCCAATATGGTCATCGCCATCGGAGCCATCGTCATGGTAACGGGCTTTCTCGGCTGCCTGGGTGCCATCAAGGAGAACAAGTGCCTGCTTCTGAGCGTGAGTTTAATTTACATACCTACGCAATGTCCCATTATAAATAAGACACCCTCAGACGGCTTTCTTCTTATAAATACATTCACACACTGCGACTCCTCTCTGACTGTTTCTCTCCTCCTTTGAATATTTTCACATTCCCCATACAAATATTGACGGAAATGTCTTGTGGAGACAGCCTCTCACATATGTGTCTACACACCCACACACACTGGTCACAGGCCAGCGAGAACTCAGCGGTGTATCTGTGTTTGTCTTCCGGCGTAGGTAGGCGACTGACAGGACGGGTTCAGTCTGCATTGTGTCAAACCTCAGGGACTCTCATAGACAATTAAAGCTGAGCAGTGTGAATCTCCCATTGAATGAACACCAACGCATTTGTCATTCCAATGACTCTGGACACATCCCAGAGAAAGCTGTCAGTCAAGAGGCCTTTTGTGTCACCAACAAGGTTGAATTACCAAATGTACAAAGTGTGCTGAAAGCTCTTGATATTTCTGAGCTCAATATTGGGGATGTTCTATTATTCCTTACAAAGTCTCCTCATTGCACTTTGGTCGCATAGTTGTGCAGGTGTTTTATCTTGAGAAAGTTAATTATAAAAGTTCAACCAATGGAATGAAGTTAGCACTGCGAAAAAAGAAAGAAAGGGAAACTTTTATGAGAAGTGGAGTTGGGGCTCTTGGTACTTAACATCACAAACAGCTCAATCCCTTGAAGCTCAAAAGCTCCATCGAATCCTGAGTGTTCGACATGGCTTCCTCCACCTGCCTAACAGGTGTGAAGCAGCAAGAGGAAGAGGGCAGAGGGAAGGGGGAGGGAGGGCGACGTGAAGGAAAGATTTAAAAAATAGCAACTTAATGGAAAATGTTGACGTTGTTATGTTTCTCATTAAGTCTCTTTCGACATCTGTGTGGCAGCTTTTCACATTTAGCCTGGATAATTCTTTAATGCAAAGGTGTATGCAAGTCATTGTTGTTTTTTATCCCCAGTCCATCTGTCCCGCTCAATACACCCTTGGGTGTGTGTGGTGGGGGAGTGCAGGATATATAGAAACATCAGAGTGGGTTTAGATCTCCCGCAGCAAACAGATCTGAGCATTTACCTTGAAACATTATCTCTGAAGATACTCTGCGGACAACTCTCTCTGGATTAGCAATATTCAAAGGCTAGACATCCTTTGCGGTACATTTTCAGTCTCTCTTTGTCGCTGCCAAAAAGTGTTTACTGATACAAATTTTAGCGCAAAAAAAAGTGGGAGAGAGAACACTGGAATATTTAGCTGAAGCTCTTTAAAACCTCAAAGTGTGAATTGCTAGCAAATTATAACATACACACAAAGCTGTGTGTGAATAAATACAGACACCTTCTCCTTTTATGCCATCAAAGCACCACCAGTTTAGTGTACAGAAGCTGTCCCTTTCAGCGCCAGGAGAATGTGACAAACCAACTATGAAGTGATAACAGCAATACGCTGAACTGGCAACCCAGATAGTTGACTAACAGCAAACTGTTGTTCATTTGGGCCTTGACACAAATAATAGTCTAATCGCTTCTTTCTAAATGGGTTTGTAATAAATTGGGTTTTCCAGAATCTGGGTTTGTGCACAGCCTCATCCCATGCTGTGCACAAGAGCTTGGTAAATATTGAGCTGAAGTGGAGTCAAGTAGGGTGAGGACAACAGTAGATGAGATGCAAGGCTGTGTTAGGAAAGAATCTAGGGGGGTTTATTAAGCCTTATTTCCTTCCTCTCACACGTTCACATGCCCTCCAGCACTTACAGTATACAGTAGATTCCCCTTTTTTCTTCCCACCTTTTTCTTAATCTCTATTTTCTTTCTTTCATTATCTTCTTTAAACTCTTTGTTTCACAATCACACATTCCCTGCACACTAGCTGAACATTTGCTGTAGTTTAAAATATTGAAAATATGTTCATTTTCTTTCTTGCCGCTGGTAGTCAGTTGGATTAGCTTACCACAAACACAGGAACTGCTAGCAGCACCCCAGGAGCTCACTTATTAAAACATGACATCTTGTTTGTTTTTTGGCAGCGTGAAGATATCCTGGAGTTTTATTGTCAGTTAGATTATCACGCAACCAACAGAGACTCAAGTCTTGCAAATTAACCCCATAAAATGACGTGTCTTTATTGCAATTTGCATAGATTTAGCAGACAAGATATATAGTATTAATTAGTGAAATGTAGTGGTGCTGATAGGCCCATTTGTTTACCCTTGGACTAAGTCAAACTAGCTAGCTAGCTAAATTACGCTAACATAGTTTCATGTTAACCATACATGAGTATCATCTAACTCTTGAGAGAGCATTATGCATATTTTAGAACTATTCCTTTACCCTAAATTGACTTTATTTGACATGAGAGTATCAATAAAAAGCTCTTAGACTTTTGAAAAATGTGTGTTGTTAACTTCATGTCCAGTCGCACAGAGACTCTCGGATATAATATTCAACATGTTTTTATCAGCATTAGTAGGTAGATCAACACTACTGTCAAAGCAATGTTAAATCAAGCCCCCCTTCCCCTCTCTCTGTCTGACAGTTCTTCATTGTCCTGCTGATAATCCTCCTGGCAGAGCTGATACTGCTCATCCTGTTCTTCGTGTACTCAGATAAGGTAAGTTCATTTGGTTTACCATGTTATGGATGTTAAAGCTAATGTATGGTATTGTTGCTCTTCACTCTGTAACATGTTCGTTATGCCTACCAGCCTATTGCTACAGCTTATCCCTAAGGTGTACAGTGCATGCAATGCCTCAGCTGTCAGGCGTACATTCATGTCTTAAAGCGAACAGACGCACAAAAGCTACACAAAGTAATAAGGTCTTAGTGTGATAAAGTCTCTTCTCCAGTTGCTTCCGGGTATCTCAGTTCACTGGTTGTTTCTCATGCAGGAGGCTGAATATCTTCACTCAGCCATTAACCCTGTAGTCAAAGGTTAGGCCATAAAATGCAGCCAAATCCCACCAGTTGGCTCCCTGTAATTGGCACAACCACATTTCCCATGACCCCCACATGGGCTTGAGTCAGGTGAATATCTGTGTGGTTAAAACAGATGATGATATGTAAAGCTGTAGAGACTTTCAACAAACAGACTCTTCTCCATGTGTCATCACATAGACAAATGTTTAAATCGTAATATGACAAATGTCTTGTGCGGGAATAGCACTCAAGACTTCTATCTGTTTTCAAGGACACGTCGTAGATAGATCCGTCTATTTACATTATCTTGATGCTGCCTGGCCCGTGGGGCCCGAGCTAATTCTCGCTGATTTGTTCTGAGGTTATTGCTCAAACTTAGTCTCTCAGGCAGATAAAGGAATTCATTTAGCAGCCAATCCATTCTCAGATTTAGATCAGGTCTCGGAGACAAACCCTGTCAGGAGTAAATAATGTCTGTTGCCTTATCTCCAAAATATTACAGGCTTAACTTTGAAAAAAAATAAACTCCAAAACCTGATTTAAATGGAGCCACCCTTGACTTCACGGCAGCGCTTTTCCACTGCCTGTGAAGTTTGGAAAAGATAGCCAAGTGGGCTGAGAGTTTATTTAATGTCAAATCAAATGAGTGTGCATTAGTACGGGGGAGGGCATTAGTCGGGTAGAACTGCCTCATTCACACCAGTGAATTGCAACCATATTTTACGTTTCCCTCATGTTGCCAAATGACAGTGTGTATCCTGGCTTAGACTTAATAGGATGTGAAACCAGCATCGCAATCCAAATATATTTCCCTTTATTGGTCTTCCAATGTCATTGAAAAGAAAAGTAATAGAAGCAAATTATTGTATATCTTATTGGAGATGGCATTTTTACACGGCCTCCGAATAAGACATCCTGCACATTTCAGGGAATTGTATGTCAGTGTTTTTCAGACTGCATTATATGTCAGGAATGTCAAGATTGGTTGAAGGACAGTATGTGTCTGTCACGCAAGGCCTTCAGACATTGCCGTGTTTTTTTCCCTTCCTCTTGACTTGCCTCTCCCCAGTGAGATATAGTATGCTGTGTGAGGCCCTCCTCATCCTATGCTACAGGCTGTGATCAGAGGAATCACTAATTCACTTCTCCTGTTTGATCTTCTAATCACAAGGCATTTATTAACAAGTCTGGAAGACACAAAGTAGTTGGCAGCTTTTGAATGTGTTTCGGCGCGTAAAACAGATATTTTAGTCTTTCAAATGGGTCATCTTAAAATCATGAAAAACTGTGATCCTTCCGGGTGACAAGCTGTCGACGAGATGTGGGAAAGAAACGAACATATAGTATCTGGTTTTTCCTGTGGAACACATTTTCCGCAGCTTTCATTTAGTCACACTTTCTTCCTCCCCTTATTTCCACCAGTTTAATCCTACTTAAGAGCTTCTGCTTTTTCTTCTTAATGAAGAATTTCGCTCTCTTCTCTTTCACCCCGGCTTCTTGCCTCCAGGTATGTGTAGGTAGCCCCTCTTTCCATCCAAAGCCCAGTGGTGTTAAGCTCTCTGATTAAATTCCATGTAGAGGCCGTGGTATAATAAAGACAGGCCCTGGCCTGCAGTTAGCAAGCAGCTGACTACAGCAGATGGCTGGATCACAAACCAGATTACAGCCATCCGTCTTAAATGCAGTGACCTCAGTGTTACTGCCTCTGCCGGCCAACCACGCCGAGCTGAACACCAGTGAAGGTTTTCTAGCTCAGAATTAGAAAGCAGAAACTGGTAAGCACAAATGGGAAGCACCATGTGCTAGGGGCTATAGGGAGAAGGGGAAAATGAGATATCTATCTAAGGAAAAGAAGATAAATGTGTAAGGGACGGAAGGTGTTAGAGGAAAGAGGAAGAACACAAGGGAGGGCAAATGTGGCAAAAGTGAGGTGAGGTGTCCCTGCATTTTTCCTGTAATTTAAGCCAGAGTCAAGAGAAAATCATGGAGCAGGAATTAAGGTTGATTACAAAGATCACTAGAGACCGTTTTTTTGTATAAACTCCTCGCAATATCCAGAGAATCAGCACTTTGTCCCACATTTCTTCAATCATACATGTATTGCACAAGAGTAGATTGCCCTTCTTAGAAGCCGTCTCACTTACTGGAAATACTACATTTGGTTTAGGTAAGGTTTAGGTAGATTGTGCAGAATGCAGGAAGGGTCACATTAAGGGTCTGCCCTACAGAAAGAGGCTCCAAAATCGTGTCGTCACTTTAGTAAGACATTTCTCTTGGCACCTTAGTGTAAATAACCCTTCCTTTCACCTTTTGTTTACTCCTGGTTTCACAACAACGGCATTGTCATGAACAGGCCCATTTGCTTGCTACCTCTTCATACAATGACCGGCGCTATTCACACATTGGCTCTATCATTACACTGACTACAATGGAGCTGGCAGGGTAAGGTCTGTTTTATCGCCATTTCAAATTATTCTAAAATGTGCATTCTCACAAATAGCTCCTCTGTAAGGTCATGTTTAGATGATTTCAGAATTGCATGTGTGAAAAGGGCATAGTTTAGAGAGCAGGGAAGGCTATCACCCATTACATTTCATTACATGTCACTTGTTAGACGCTTTTATCCAAAGCGACTTACATACATTCAGTGCTGTGGACAATCCCCACAGGAGCAATTTGGGGTGAAGTGTCTTGCCCAGGGACACAACCACATGCTGACTGCAGTGGGACTCGAACTTGCTATCCCCTGATTCAAAGTTCAGCGCACTAAGTTCAGCGCACTATACCACTGAGCCACAGCCGCCCATGATTTATCTTAATAACAACCCAACAAACCAGCACCCATATCTAGTCATGTGTTGCATTCGTTTACAGGACGAATTATGTTCACTCCCTGGCCCAGCTTTATTTATTTCCAGACCAATTACAGAGAAGTAGTGAGGTCTTCCCCTCGCTCTGTCGAGTGCCCTGGCCTCAGGCTCCCCGGCACAGGCTTGCAGAGCAACTGAGGGAATTAAGTATCCAGGCTGTGATGCTGTTTCTCTCCACATCATTTATTACACTTTCCGGGCAGTTAGCTAACGCACTTGTCCAGTTGAGCAATGAGAGCAAGAGTAAAATATTGTTAGGTTCCGTTCTCAGGGTACTCGAGAGTCAAAGGATGTGAACATTAGTGCCAGTTTGCCCTGACAATATACATTTGACCCAAGACTTATTAAGAAATAGAGTTGAATTGCATTGATCACCTTGGAAAGAGGAACCATTACATTGAATGTAACACATTTGGTGTAGAAAAGAAGGTTGGTGTGGGTTCACATGAGCTGATCCTTCAAAAGCTAACAATGTAACAAAGGTTGGGACTAGAAGTTCAGTGTTTGGTTATGACGTAACACTTTTTTAATACTGTTGTTAAGCTCACTGAAAATAAGCACAACAGAGAGTCTAGTCTGACAATAAAGAAAAATAAGTGACAATTTGTTCAGAAAGATGTAATCATTTTGAGACTTCATAAAATGATTCATGTTCAAAGACTGGATGTGAGATGAAAGTGAAGAGAAAAAGTGAGAAGAATGGGGAATACAAATCGGCAAAAGAGTAGTCCTGCAAAGTGGAAATGTGGAATAACTACAATCCTCTTTTTTACTGTAAATACCCACACGATGTTTGCCTATTCCCCGCTGTACCATTGGCAGGATTCTAAAGCTTAGTTGCTTTTATGGAAAAGATTCCACACATTTTTAGGCTAAGCTACCTTCTAGAACAAGTAAGCAGCTAGCCGGTGAACACCGTGGATCATATAGAAATGACAGAGATAACTCCAAAAATACTGCACTCGTATCTGCACACATACATGTAAATTGATTTAACAATCCCGACTCAAATATGTATATATGTTCATTTAATTCATTTCTTGTTCTAACAGTTACTTACCTGTATATCATTTGTGTTTTATCTTTAATTGTATTATCCTTGTGTGAATCTGTACTGTCCTGATGTTCGCTCTCACTCTGTTGCTCCTTAAACTCCTGAATTTCCCAACGGGGATTAATAAAGGTCCATCTTATCTTATCTTATCTTAAAAATCAGAGCTCACAGGAGGCTGAATTCTGAACGTGTGCACCAAATGGCACGTCTGAAAATAAATGATACTGCTGTTTTGTATCTGCTGGATGTGTAAATAATTTAAAACCTTTGTCACTTTCACTTTAGCAATGTCTGTTGTGCCTCAAATGAACAAAAAACCAACAGATATTGTAGGTTTAAATTAAGTCATTTTCTGGTGTTGGTTTATTGTTAGTCAAGATGTTGTATACATTATGCCTTGGGTCTCTCTCAGTGTTGTATAGCAGGCTCCAGTCAGTGTGCAAAAAAGTGGCAGAACGTAGTCACGCTAAAAAGAAATAAACATTTTCTCATTTCACAGAAGTTTCCTTTAGTCTTCTTTTCTCTGACTGGTAATATGTTTACTACACCTCCTGGATAGTCTTTTGTTAAAAAATGTCTTTGGTGAAATTGTACTGCTGAGACTTTAATTCATTTGGAATTATACACTGTAAAATTGCTTGCAGATTGTAATTGCTCAAAGTGATGAATAACAGTTGGGTAAAACTTAATAAAACTCACACAATGCTCTAATTGCTCTTCCATACACACATTACTGCACCTACTGCAAACAAGCATTGCTTCCTGGTGTTT